CCACGTAGCAATGCTCTGGCGTGGCAGTGACTGCACGGACGAGCCAGAGCGGAAGTGGGAGGACGAGGGGGAGGGGAGCAGAGAGGAGGGGAGCGGAGGAGGAGGGGACTGGGGAGACGGACCACCTCGCCAAATCGATTTCTCGGCCCCGGATTCGACACGGCGTCGTTGCGGTGGTCATCCGCCAGGGCGGCCACCACACCCGACTGCGTGCGCTGCGCAACCGCCTTGCAGTAGGCGAAGCACAGCAGCTTCACGAGCACGCAGGCCACCATGAGCACGGTCGCGAGCGACTGCTCCGACTCCTCCTCCTCCCCGCCGCCGTACTGGGCCACCAGGGCGTCGACGCTAGGCCTGGACCGCGGCGTGCGCAGGGAAGGGGACCAGAAGGGCGAGGGGACCAGGAGGAGAAAGACACCCGGGGGGGGGGCGGGCGGGGACCCCACAAGCCCCAACGGCGCCGATCACCCTGGCGTAACAATACCCTTTGTAGTCGCCGAAGGAGGGAGAGGGCGAGGGGACTGGGAGGGCGAGGGGACTGGGAGGGCGGGAGCGAGATAGAGTAGCAGCAGCGGGGGCGATACCGCGATGCCTGGACCACGGCAGGTAGCCCCAACGGAGCCTGGGGTTCTCCTCCAGCAGGCGCCGCAAAGCATCCCCCGCCCCGGGTCCGGCGTCCTCCGGAGGGGACAGCAGCGTCTGAAGAGAGTCAATGATCATGTTGGTCATCGTGGCGGTCATGAAGGCGCAGAAGAAGAGCACCCCCAGGGACTCGAACCGGTGCTTCCCCAGCGGGTAGCGGCGGGCGTCGCGGGTGTCCGCGATCTTCCGCTGCGTGATCTGCATGATGACGCTGCTGAACACATCGCCCAGCGAGTCGAACATAGACGCCCGCACCTGAAGGTCTCCGAAATGCAGCCAGATGGGGACAAAGCATCGCGTCGCACCGCCGATGCTCCGGCTATGCGCATCGGCGACGGCGGGATGGAGAGGAACAAGCTCCACGTCGCGCCACACCGCCGATGCATTGGTCATACGGCGCGATCCTCCGCACCATATCGAAGGGAAACGTCATGGGGGGGGGGGGCCAGCGCAGGGCGCGGGAGATCGCCCTGGAAGCGGGGACACGCCTCCGAGGAGTCGGCCAGAGGCCCCGATAGCGAAGCCGCACGTTCCTGGGCGGGGCAAACTGTCAGGCCCCTATCGGGGATCCGAGGGCGACTCGGGGTCTACGCATCCCCCCCTGAGCCTAACTATGACGAACGAACAACACGCACCCATACACATAGGGGGGTCGTTGGGAGGAGGACTGGCTATGGGTATGGGTGCGGGTTGTCGGACCCTGGAGAATGCTCCCGTTCGAGCGGGGACCCCCATCCGACAACACGTACACATAGCCCTCTCCGATCCCCCTATGGGTGTGGGTGTGTGTGTTGTTGGTTCGTCATAACTATCCCCCGCTAATGTTGCGCATCAGTTTTCGGGTCATCACTCGGCTCTCCGGGGGCCACTGAGGGCGAGCCAAGCACCCCCGTAACGCTCTCGGCGAGGCACAGCTGCTGGAACGCACCCCGAGGCTCGAAAACCGCCGAGAGCCGACGAGAGCGCCCGAAAACCTCGAGCCTCGAACCTCGCACTCCGCCGAAGATGCCCCTGAACGCTGCCCTCCTAACGTTGCTCCTGGACAGCTTGGACGACCGAGCGATCTGGGATGACTCTGGTCTGGGGCAAGTCCAGTTCGGGCTCCCCCACGAGCACGAACCAAGAGCTGCCATTGACCACCCCCCTGCCCCGACGAGTCGCGAGCGGCCGCGGACGCCCGAGTGAAAAACTATGTTTGAATACTCCTCATGTGGAGGGACATGCCAGACTTAACGCAAGTGCCGAAGAGAGAGACAGAGAGAGATAGAATTATTCACTGCGTGGGGATCCCCATATGTGCATCTCCTTGCTGGCGCTCCCTTGGTGGTGGGACTCGGTGAGGACGAATCTGGATTCAAGTGTGACTGAGCTGCCTCTCTCTCTGCTCTCTCTGCTCTCTCTGTCTCTCTCTCTCTCTCTCTCTGCCCTCTCTCTGTCTCTGCCTCTCTTTCCCTGCCTCTCTCTCTCTCTGCCTCTCTCTCTGCCTCTGTCTCTCTGCCTCTCTTTCTCTCTCTCTCTCTGCCTCTCTCTCTGTGCCTCTCTCTCTCTGCCTCTATCTCTGCCTCTCTCTCTCTCTCTCTTTCTTTCTCTCTCTCTCTCTCTCTCTTTCTCTCTCCTCTCTCTCTTCTCTCTATTCTCTCTCTGCTCTCTCCTCTCTCTCTCACTCTCCCTCTCTCTCTCTCTCTCGCTCTCTCTCTCTTCTCTTCTCTTCTCTTCTCTTCTCTTCTCTCTCTCTCTATATCTCTCTGTCTCTCTCTCTCTTTCTCTCTCTCTCTCTCTATCTCTCTTCTCTCTCTCTCTCTCTTTCGCTCTCTCGCTCTCTCTTGCTCTCTCTCGCTCTCTGTCGCTCTCTCTCGCTCTCTCTCTCTCTCTCTCTCTCTCTCTCTCGCTCTCGCTCGCTCTCTCTCTCTCGCTCTCTCTCGCTCTCCCTCGCTCTCTCCCGCTCTCTCTCTCTCTCTCTCTCTCTCTCTCTCTCTCTCTCTCTCTCCCCCTCTCTCTCCACTTTCTCTCTCTCTCTCTCTCCTCTCTCTCTCCCTCTCTCTCTCTCTCTCTCTTCTATCTCTATCTATCTCTCTCTCTTTATCTCTCTCTCTCTCTTCTCTCTTCTCTCTCTTCTCTCTCTCTCTCTCTCGCTTCTCTCTTCTCTCTTTCTCTCGCCTGTCTCCTCTCTCAACTCCCCCTCTCTCTCTCTCTATCCGCTCTCTCTCTCTCTCTCTTTCTCTCTCCTCTCCCTCTCTCTCGCTTCCTCTCTCTCTCTCTCTCTTGCCCTCTCTCTCTCTCTCTCTCTCTCTCTCTCTCTCGTCACGGGCTCGTGAGATCAGCCAGGGTGGCTCCCCCTTGGGGCTCCCAAATGATGCCCCTGGCAGCGTTTTGTGACCATGAGGCTCTCAAGAGATACATGTTGGGGAGGCCAAACGGCAATTCTAGCTGAGGCGTCCCACCAAAATCGGCGCGAACGGGCTCGTGAGATCAGCCAGGGTGGCTCCCCCTTGGGGCTCCCAAATGATGCCCCTGGCAGCGTTTTGTGACCATGAGGCTCTGACGAGAGACATGTTGGGGAGCCAAACGGCAATTTTAGCTGAGACGTCCCACCAAAATCGGCGCGAACGGGCTCGTGAGATCAGCCAGGGTGGCTCCCCCTTGGGGCTCCCAAATGATGCCCCTGGCAGCGTTTTGTGACCATGAGGCTCTCAAGAGAGACATGTTGGGGAGGCCAAACGGCAATTTTAGCTGAGATGTCCCACCAAAATCGGCGCGAACGGGCTCGTGAGACAGCCAGGGTGGCTCCCCCTTGGGGCTCCCAAATGATGCCCCTGGCAGCGTTTTGTGATCATGAGGCTCTCAAGAGATACATGTTGGGGGCGCCAAACGGCAATTCTAGCTGAGACGTCCCACCAAAATCGGCGCGAACGGGCTCGTGAGATCAGCCAGGGTGGCTCCCCCTTGGGGCTCCCAAATGATGCCCCTGGCAGCGTTTTGTGACCATGAGGCTCTCAAGAGAGACATGTTGGGGGGCCAAACGGCAATTCTAGCTGAGACGTCCCACCAAAATCGGCGCGAACGGGCTCGTGAGATCAGCCAGGGTGGCTCCCCCTTGGGGCTCCCAAATGATGCCCCTGGCAGCGTTTTGTGACCATGAGGCTCTCAAGAGATACATGTTGGGGGCGCCAAACGGCAATTCTAGCTGAGACGTCCCACCAAAATCGGCGCGAACGGGCTCGTGAGATCAGCCAGGGTGGCTCCCCCTTGGGCTCCCAAATGATGCCCCTGGCAGCGTTTTGTGATCATGAGGCTCTCAAGAGATACATGTTGGGGGCGCCAAACGGCAATTCTAGCTGAGACGTCCCACCAAAATCGGCGCGAACGGCCTCGTGAGAACAGCCAGGGTGGCTCCCCCTTGGGGCTCCCAAATGATGCCCCTGGCAGCGTTTTGTGACCATGAGGCTCTCAAGAGATACATGTTGGGGGCGCCAAACGGCAATTCTAGCTGAGACGTCCCACCAAAATCGGCGCGAACGGGCTCGTGAGATCAGCCAGGGTGGCTCCCCCTTGGGGCTCCCAAATGATGCCCCTGGCAGCGTTTTGTGATCATGAGAGAGTGTGAGTGTGAGCTTAACTTATCTTATCTTATCTTGAAATCTCTTCTTATCATATCCTGTGCTATTCTTGTAGTATCTTATCTTATATCGTAGTATCTTATCTGGTCTTATATCTTGTATTATCTTATCTTATATTGTAGTATCGTATATTGTCTTATCTTATCTGGTAATTATCAGTGGGAGGAGGGAGGCGGGAGGCGGGAGGAAGAAGGAGGAGGAGGAGTGGGAGGCGTCAGAGTAATAACAAGAACCCCAATCCTTAGGATATGGGGAAAAAGAGAGAGAGAGAGAGAGAAAGGCCGAGGCACGAACCAGGAACTACCCTTAGGTTGGGCGTGTCCTCCTACAGGCGGGCCTTGGAGGAAAAATCATGAGTTGTCAAAACATGCTCGAAGATGTTCTCAAGAGCGGTCCACACAAAAATCGTCCCCGGGCTGTCTTGTGGACCATCTCCTGGCACTCCTCCTGCCAGGGGGGGACGTGCCCGCCTGAGCTCTCGGGCTCCCTCCGGGAGGCCCCCCCAGGGCACCAGCGGGCTGCCCGTGGCCACGTACGCCGCCAGCTTGCAGGCCGCGAGGCCCGCGCCGCCGACCCACAGGGACAGGCCGACGGCCAGGCCCTCGGCGGCCGACATCCCCGGGCAGGCGCGCGGCACGCCGCTCTCCGGCAGGGCCCGAGCTCCGCGGGGCGCTCCGGTTTCTCCGCTGCCGCTTTCTCGTTTCGCTCCTCCCCGTTCTGCCTGCCCTCCGTATGTGTTGAGACGACGAGGAGGAGGAGGAGGAGGAGGAGGAGGAGGAGGAGGAGGTGGGGTAGGAGGAGGAGGAGGAGGAGGAGGAGGAGGAGAAAGTGGGGTCGAAGGATCGCGCCGCATCGCCGATGCATCGGCGATGCACTGGCGACGTCGGCGCGGGGAAACACGGGCTCCACGTCGAGCCGCGCCGTCGATGTATCGGCGATGCAGCGCGATCATCCGACGCCACCTACTCGGACCCCATCTGGGAGGCCTAGTGAGACTTTTGTCTTCGCTATTCCTCGCTATGTCTTCGTTTCGCATGTTTGCTGCAAAACGAGATCAGAACGAAGGCGGTCCACAGAATCGCCAGAACACCGTTCAGCTCGAGCACTGCTCTCCAGTCTTGGCGGCGCCCACGATCGGGGAGACGCAAGACTCGGGCTCGGGGAATTCGAGTTGGCCCGACGGGGCCGCTAGGAAAACGACGAGACCCGGTCTGAAAGCTGGCGCGAGCTCCCGCCGAAAAACATCCCACGCGAAAGCTGGACAGAAATCAGGACGAGCCCGCCAAGCAGCATCGGCAGACCCGAGCTCCCGCGAACTCGAGCCCTGCGTCTCCCGAGGGGGGGCGCGAGGGGGGGAGGGACCTCTGAGAAGGCGAGTGGGGGGCTTCCAAGAGGGCCCATCCAAGAGAAGCCCTCTTCGAGGCCCTTGGGCCCGACTGAGATCGGGCGTTGGCAGGACTGGGCGTAGTGTTAGGTCGGGCGTGTCCCCCTACAGGCGGACTTTGGGCGAAAAATAAAAAATACCCTCCAAAAAATACCCACAAATATTCAAGAATGGTCAAAGATCGTCCCCAAACTATGTTTGACTATTTTTTGATTTTCCTCCTGTAGAGGAACAGGCCAGACTTAAGCTTAGTGGGACCTGGCTCGGTGATGCGTACTCCGGGGAACGGCCCCCCCCCCGCCCCAGTGTCCGCTAGCGGGCACCGCCGAAAACAGCAGCCACGGCAGCCCTGGCCCCGTGATTCCGGCCCATGCTCTTTCGCACTTCGGGGCCCAAGCACTGACGGGCTCACCTTCGCCGGGGCCCTGGCCACAGCCGACAGAAAAAGGCCCCTGCCTTCCGAGAGGGCGCCTCCCCTCTCCCTGCCTTCTCAGGAGGCCGCCCCCCCTCTCGCGCTTCCCCCTCGTGGGCGCCGGGCGCCGCTGACGGTGGCGCTCGCGGACCCAGCGGCGAGCTCAAGGCGGAAGCGGCAGCGCTCCTGACGCGCATCGAGCCGCACGGCGGAGGGATGAGGAGGGAGGAGTGAGGAGGGAGGGAGGGAGGGAGGGAGGGAGGGAGGGAGGGGAGGGAGGGAGGGGAGGGAGGGAGGAGGAGAAGGAGGAGGAGGAGAAGGAGGCGCTTCTCGACGCCAAGGTCGGGCCAGGTGCCTCCAGCGCTCCATCGCCTTCCGCTGGCCGTCGGTCCTCTCTTCCCCCCCCTCTCCTCGGGGTGGCGAGATCCGAACCCTGCCCCCACCGGCCGGCGGGTCTCCTGCATCGATCGGAGGAGGAGGAAGAGGAGGAGGAGGAGGAGGAGGATGTCGAGGGCGAAGAGGAGGGGGGCGAGGAGAACGATGAGGAGAAGGCCGGGGGCGAGCGGGGGAGGGTACGGTGAGGATTTCGAGACCGAGCTCGACGAATTCCGAACCCACCCCCCTCGCATCGAGTTGCCTGAGCCGGTGATCGACGAGGCAGGGTCCGCAGTTCGCCGCCGATTCTCCCGCCTCATCCGACGTCCCGCTCGCCGCCCTTTTCCTCCATCTGCCCCCCCCAGGTGCCCCAGTGCTCCCTCTTGCCATCCCCCCTGTCCAACTCCTCCACTTCTCCCTCCTCGACCTTGCTCGCTGCGGCAGGGTCGCGTCGCGATGACGGCGCCGGCGGTTTCCGACATCGCGTGGATCGCTCAACCTGGAACGAACGCGGCATTCCGATGGCACGGATCGCGAGAAGTCGGCTGACTCCGGGCCACTGGCGACAGCGTCGCTGCCGCGTCAACGAGGCACGAACCTGCTCCACCCCTCAAAGGCCCCCACCCCACACCCACCCCGGCCTGGGTGAGGGGCGACAGTAGGGGGGGAACGGGCTCAGGGGGGGGGGGGGAACATCGACCTAGAATCGGCGATGCACCGCCGATAGACTTGCGAAAGGCCCCCGATAGCCAATCCCCGCGTTCCTGGGCGGGGTGGGTTGTAGAGCCCTGATCGGCGATAAATGGACGAATGGGGGTCGATGCAAACCCCCCGAGACTATCCCCCCGCCAACGTTGCCCCTGATTCATTCTGCTCGTGACGTGGGCACTCGGGTATCTCGAACCCCCCTCCCTGGGGCCAGCTCTTCATGTTCCGACCCAGGTCCTTTTGCAGCTGGTCCTGGGGGGACGGGACAGCAGCCTCTGCAGAGGCCCAGGACCGAGCACAACGACAGCAGACGCCATCTCGCGGCTCGCGCGGCTGGCGGCGCCCCCTCGCGTTGCCCTTGACCCACCCCCCAGCCCTCACTTCGCGCCTCGCGCCCCGCGACGCGCGACGCGCGGCTCTCTTCGCGCACCCTCTCGCCGCCCCCTGGAGGAGGCCGGCTCGGCGGCCCCGGCCGCGCCGCGCGAGGCGCGATCACCTCCGCGCCCCCGGCGGCGACCCGGGCGGCTGCGCCTCGGGGCGCCAGCTGCTGATCGAGGCGAGCACCATCGGTGCCGGGGCCGCTCCGAGCGGCGAGGCCGAGGAGGCTCGCGGCGGGGCCGACGAGAGAGGCCCGCCAGCGGGCGCTCGTGCCCCGCTCTCGGCTCGCGCCGCAGCCGGCCGCACTCGTGGGACGCAGGAGGACATACAGTCAAAACGTAGATTGAGGACGCGTGGTAAGGACGCAAGACCCTTGGAGGCTGAAGTTGGGATTTTTTAGGGCGGCGGGCGACCAGTGAAAACGGCAAAGGACGGGCCACAGAGGCAGGGACGCGAGGGTATCCTAGATGAAGGCGCGCGTCCATACTAGGCGCGTTGACTGTACTACAGGCTCGGAAGCATGTCTCCTTATACGCCGCACCAGAGCCTCAAGAACAACCGGAAGACCGACGAAATCTTCCGCGGGCGATTCTGCTCGGGGCGTCCTCCAAATGTGCCTGGTTTGGGCCCTGGTTTGGCATGGCTTGGCTTGGTTGGGCGGCGCAAAATGCCTGAGACGTCCTCCGAATTTGCTTGGTTTGGCCCCTGGCTTGGCCTGGTTTGGGCTGGGTTTTGCCTGAGACGTCCTGACAATTTGCTTGGTTTGGCCTGGATGCGCCTAGTTTTGCTTGAGACGTCCCAACAATTTGCTTAGTTTGGCCTGGTTTGAGCCCGGTTTTGCCTGAGACGTCCTCACAATTTGCTTGGTTTGGCCTGGTTTGGGCCCGGTCTGGCTTAAGGCGTCTGCAATTTGTTTGGTTTGGCCTTGTTTGCGCCTGGTTTCGCAGGAGACGTCCTCGCACGTCCCCATCTTGAAGGGGGAAGCATTGCCCTGGGGCCTCTCCTTGCTCAAGGAAGAGCGGTCGGCCAGACCGAGACACTAGCCAGCGATGAGGCGAGAACCAGGGAGTGACCGGCGTTCGGGCAAGAGCGCACGTCAACGTCATCGTAGTCGTCGTCGTTGTCGTCAAAATCATCATCGTCGTCGTCGTGGTCGTCGTCGTGGTCGTCGTCGGCGTCGTCGTGGGGGGGCCCGACGCTCCGAGACACGTTGTATTTGTCACATGGCGCAGGGAAATTCAGGAATCATTCATTCACACGTGGTGGGCGTATCCATTCGGAACGTTATGGACCCTGGGCGTTCCCAATACACATTGGGTGTTGTCGATGTGTGTATGACAGTGAACTAGCATTTCACACACGTCGTGAGTGCAAACATGCGAAACAGGACGGTGTGTACTGAACACACATACTGGCCCACAGTCTGCCCTGTTGTGCTACAGTATAACCAGGGCAGTGGGTGTGGACATCCGAAGCGGAGTGTGTTCGGCCACTGTACCACATAGTGCAAGCATCGCTCACACAAAGCCTCATGTCATCCGGCATTTGACCACGTGGCGGTGTTAGGAGAAAATGGTTCCGAGCCCGTCGTGCTGTGTGCCCTCCTCGGAGGTGTGCTCCCGACCAAATCACCGAGTAGAGTCACCTTAGCAGTGCATCGTTGCCCCAGCGGTGTGGCCAGAAAGCGCCTGCCGCCGAGTATGTGATGCAAGTCTCCTAAGCGCGCGCATCGCCACTTTGGGGGCCGCGCCCTCATGGTATGAGAGCATAGCCGAACTCGCTCGCTCCACGCGCTGCCGCCACCCCTCCGAGAGTCCACAACCGCTGCACACTTTTTTTGATCCGCGGGTCGAGAGCGCACCTCTTCTGGTCGAAGCTAAGCGGGCCGCGCACAGCTTTATTTTAACAGAGGGGGAAGGCAGAAGGAGACAACCGCTGCACACACCCCAACTCTGACGCGCGTGACCACCAGGGCCAGGCGCATTGGCCGACGCTCCTGGGCACACCACAGTAGATGGGGTCTGAGTATATGGGGTCCGAATAGATGCATCGCCGATGCATCGTCGATGCATCGGCGATGCATCGGCGATACATCGGCGACGTCGGCGATGCATCGGCGACGTCGACGTGGAGGAAAGCGAGCGCCATATCGAGCCGCATCGCCGAGGCATCAGCGATGCGGCGCGGTCCCCCGACCCCATCTACGTGCTCGGACCCCATCTGGGGGGCCTCGAAGAAGGGGGGGGGTGCTTCACCTGCTCCATCGAAAAGGGGGGGTGCTTCATCCGTCGCCACCCCACCCGACCTGGGCCCCCACCCCCCTCGGCCCGCCCCCCGGGCACTCCAGGATACTCCTCCGCGCCCCGCGCGCGGCTGTGCCAAGAGGCGCGCTCTGGCGCCACCCCCTGCCGAAGAGCACGCCTCCCTCCCACGCACCCACACTCCCCCCGTCGAGGAGGCGGCGGTGGCGGCGGCGGCAGACGA